TAAGCCTGACGGGAAGAAGGTTGGAATCTACAAGATGGCAAACATATGTTTGAAGACCCTCTTCCAGGCCGATAAGCTGGGGAGCTGCGAGACCATCTTCAATAACATATCGAACTCCTCACCACCATTACACATCTACCCGGCTGCGGAGCGCATTACCTTCCTTTATTACCTCGGGCGGTACCACTTCAGCAACACCAACTTCTACGGAGCTCAGCTCGTTCTGGAGCTAGCATACAGAGGTTGCCACGGGCAGTGTCCAAAGCAACGCCGCTTAATCGCAGTCTGCCTTGTCGCTGCCAACATACTCCTCGGTCGTTTCCCAAACGAACTCATCTACAACGACCCTGCATGCATGGGCTTCCGGGAAGTGTTCGAACCGCTGTGTCGTGCGATTCGTAGGGGAGACCTAGAAACGTTCCGTCGGATAACGAACCTGGATCTTTCCCACCCAAGTGCCGAATTCATGATCAAATACCGTATTTTCTACCCAATCGGGAACTATTGCGAGCCCCTCGTATGGTGGTCACTCCTCCGCAAGGTATTCATCCTTACTGGAAGCATAGGGGAAGCATCGAAGTCGGCTGCTTTGCTCGACCTCAATGCAGCTGTCCTTGTATTTCGCTTCCTAGAAGCACGCTCGCTCATCAAAAATGCCGCAATGGCCGCGCAAGACCGTGGTCCAGGTCGTCGCAACTTTGGTCACATCTACCAGGATCATGCATCAACAAGCAAATCGACATACATCGACCCGGACTTTATCGGCATGGAAGGGGTGCAGCCGTATACTCACGAGTATGACTTGCTGGAGTTGGAATGCATATGCGGTAGTCTCATCACCCAAGGTTATCTGAATGCGTACATTGCGCAGGCGAAGCAGAAGTTGGCCATCCAAGGTGTCAAGACGGGAAACTTGAGCGCTGGATTCATCAACCCGTGGGAAGTCAACAAGGAGAGGAACAAAGACGAGGTGCTTGGATGGAAGAAAGAAGCTGGAGGCGATGGAGGGCAGGTCGTCAGGCTGTCATCCGCGGCACCAGCCGGGATGTAGAGGAAGATCGCGCATGATACCCTGATATTGAGATCGGATAGGAATATATGCCAGTAAGACTCCATACGTTGCTTGCGATGCTAATCAAACCCAAAAGATGACCCCCGAACTCCCTCAACGCCGACGCGCTTGTATCGTTTGCGTGGCACCCCATACCTCAAACCGGAACACCGTTGTTGTCCATCCGTCTTCCAACATCCGAGCCTCAGCACATGATAACGACCGTATTGTTCTGACCTCTTTTGCTGCGAGCTTTCCTTCCTCGTCGTGTTCTAGAATGACCTGCAGTGACATCGTTGGTACCTGTGTTCAGTCAATACTGTAATGACGAGAGTTGGTCAGCAAGCATACCATTAGAGTCTCTTCTCCATAGCTTCGTGCCTCGACGTCTGGCCAGCCAAGCTTTAAATAGCAGACCAATGCAAGGGATGAGTACGACGAGCAGAATGCCGAACAACCCGAAGAGCGCTTCTTTAGTCCAGTAGGGGTCTGCGATAGATTCATGGGGGCTTGGTCGTGAGGATGGAACATCTATATGCAAACACTCGTCAGAGAGCATTGAAACGAACATTGAACAATTGAAATACCTCGCAGAACTTCAGTCGTTGTAGACATTGCCCTCGATAAATCGTTTACTGGTATGACTTGAAATATTCCAGGATTTAAAAATGTGGTGGATAATACAGCCACAAAAGTTAGTGTAGGAAGCTGCCATGGTGGTGCTAATTCAGGTCGAAGTTATACTGGGGGATTGTGTAAGACGATTTTTGTGCGGCGACTGGGGGCCAAAACGATATGTTATTTCTTGACGAATCATGGCCTCCAGGGTCCTCGCTGGCCTGGCACTTGCGAACCCGTGCATGCGTCCAGATGCGGAAAGGCCGTTACAAGTGGCGCGGCTGTACCTTAGCCTCCTGCCAGGCATGTTTGATAGGTGTGACTACTCAAGCTAAGTAGCATAACGAAAACATACATCAGAGGTCTTGGATTTGGTGATCGCATTCAAAATGTGCTGAATCTTATTAGTTACTGCTAAGAGATACCCATGGATACCTCCAGTGCCACGCTTGTGGCGTGGGGCGGAGCGGGGCGGAGCGGTCGTCTCAAGCAACATCTTCACACCAGAGTGCAGTTCTCAGCGACAACAACATTCGCTACGCTGCAGCGCAGACGTCTCCCACCTGCAACATCAGTACCTATCGCCAACCGCGTTCTCAAAGCCGCGGTCGAACACCTTAGCCTAGGCGCGAGCACCCGCGCGTGCGCTATCGCCCCCTTTCAATTTTGTCATCAATCCACCGTTCTTTCCGATCCCCAGCCTGTATAAAGAAAGTGCACCATGGCACACAACACAACGGAGGAGAAACGGGACTTGACTCACCTGCCGTTTCCCAAACCGATCCCCGTCGAGCACTTCAATGACCCCGCTGTCATCAATAGGAGCCCCGACGATGAGCTGCCAAGTTGCGGGGGACACGGCACTTTAGAGATTCTACAAGTGGCAAAGCTACTAGATGGAGCTGGCATTACCTGTTGTCTCGTTGGTATTTCCGCTCTGATCTACTACGGCGCCGGAAGGGTACGCAGGGTAAGCTCATTGTGACGCCCCGTTCTCTAGATTGTCTCAATCCTTGCACTGCTGACCTGAACTACTAGGACTGGGAGGTGTGCGTGCCCACAGAACAGATTGAAGAAGCGTCTGCACTTCTGGGCTCAGCCGCCACTTACGAAACCTATGCGCCGCGCCCACCCGCCCCGCGGTCGCTACTGCACACTTTCCCCCGGTTCAAAGTCGTAAACAAAGCACTGTGCTTCACATTGATCCCCTCGGAAGACGCGCACATCGAATGCGTATCCACCAATTTTGAGCGTAGCCACATGGGTCTCCCGTACCCGATACTAGAAGTATTCGCACAAAGTCTTCTCGACACTAACGATATGGTAGCACTCACAGACCTTATAGACGGCATGAATCTGACCGAACAATGGGGCTTAGAGCATTTGAACCTTGATGCCGAAAATGATCTAGCGTGGGTATGGCGAAAGAACGAGAAGATCCGGGCTTCGGTTCCACTTGACCTCACCTCGTGTCTCCTGGAAATTCCAAACAAACCGATCAATCTGAAAGAGTCCTGGAATGACGTTGTCCGAACCAAGGAGCGTCGTATTGGCGCGGAATTGGCCGAAGGATATTGGGCCACGCGATTTCGTGGTGTAGCATCCCCGGATCCAAGGTCTACGGAGAGGGACTACGTATAAGGCGCGGACGCAGGCTTAGTAACAACGCAGAGATCTCTATGATAGCTCGGAGCATTACAATCGTCTATGTCTCAACAAATTCCGTTTGGTGATTGAGAAAAAGCAAGTCTGGATGTGATTTGGAGTTTGTCAACATCAAATACCCGACCACCAATCCACGATCGCCGAAACTATTGTGGTCTGGTTTACCGTCGTATCTTCGAACTCAAATGACCAAGAATTGAAGACAAAGTTTCGTCGTTTTTGGCTAAACTTCTGTTCAGCTGCGACACTGGTGGACAAGGAGGCGGTTCGCCGCGGCGCAGTTAAGCGCTGATGTGCCATTCAGTTGCACTTAACGCGCTATGATCATGAAACACACGCTCAAGGCACACACTCCTTTCACAACGAAACAGTTCGCGCCAGGATTCGCGATGGTCAAATTCGCGCGCGCTTTCAATTTTGAGATCCTCTTATCTGTTGGTGACTTGAACTGCTCATAAAATGGATCAAATGTTGTACCACATTCTCAGACTAGCTACTGCCGACTCTTCGTCTTCCAGTCAGATACACGTTGTTCTGTATAATATCTACCTAGGTATATTACAATACTCGACTTTCATCTCATCTTCTCAGTCAAACTTTTTATCTTCGGGATGTCTCGTTCCCGGGCAACTCAACAACAACCGGGAACGTATAGCCCTGAACAACAGCATGCCTTGGTGGCTGCGGCAAATCGTGCTGTTACCTCTCAATTATTCGCTGTAGCAGACCTCATGTCTCGGGTATTCCAAGTCAACGCCGTCCCCTACGCCTTTATGGGCGGATTTGCGCTGAAGCTTCGAGGAAGCATTCGCGATACCCAAGACGTTGACGTGGCTGTCGGATGTACGATGCAACGGGCCATCGATGTGCTTTCCGTGCAAGCCAGGTGAGCAACTCAACATGCCATTAATCTGTCCAGCGACGAACTGAGGTCATAGAGTCCGTCGTCCTGCTGGCCCTACGTCCGGCGTGATGAGAATTTTCGTTCTGGTCGGCGGCCCCTTGGATCCTGGTGTTCCAGAACTCTGGGTTGCCGTAGATATAATCCTCGGAGGCAAGCTTCACTCTTTGTTTTCTCGCGGCTGACTATGATGGACAAATCGATAACTTCCGCCACAGGCTCTCTCGGCGCCCCTACCGACATTCAAAACAACTCAGAGATTGTGACCTACAACACAAAACTCGGACCAAAGCAGCTTCCTATCATTGACGTAGTGAGCGCAATGGCTAGCAAGCTGAATGCATATCATTTTAGACAAGAACGAAAAGACTACGAAGATATCTGGTTCCTTATCAGGACGTACTCTGAACAAGTTTTTGCAATCAGAGCACGACTAGACGCAACGCACTGCCAGTATTTTGTTGGATCCCTTGCGGAGAGGGAATCAGAGGAGGCTATTCGAAGTATTAAGTCTATTCTGAATGTAGCTTAGGGATCGAAGTCGGAGGACGGCAAGTGACGCACACTTCAGAACTGCCATTTTTGTCATCGCGAGTAGTAGTAAACGCTGGAATGATATGAACGTGAACGATGGTGATGGACAGTGCTGGGCAGCCTTGCCCACGCCCCAAGCCAACGCCCCTCCGCCTTTCTGTGCCGTTACACCCGAGACCACCTCCAATAGGATTGGTAACGATCTATCTTACACCACCGCTTGTTGTCCGTCTATTGCCCGACGTTAGTGAAGCGCAGGTACTTCTTGACCTCCCTGACATCACCAAACTTCTTCCTGGCATCCTCAGTGCTGACGCTGGGTGGCACGATGACGTCTTGGCCCTTCTGCCAGTCAATGGGTGTAGCGATGCCCTTCTTGTCTCCTGTCTGCAAGCTGTCGATGACTCTCAGTACCTCCGCGGTGTTCCTGCCGGTGCTCGCGGGGTATGACATTGTAAGACGGATCTTCTTCGCTGGATCGATGATGAATACCGAGCGGATGGTGAAGGCAATGCCGCCGTTCTTCTGGAGCGCATCGAGGTCGTCTTGCGAGATCATATCGTAGAGGAAAGCGACGTGGCGGTCGGCATCGGCGATGATGGGAAACTGCACGGTGGTGTTGGAGGTCTCGTTGATATCGGCAATCCACTGGTCGTGAGAGCTCAGGTCGTTGGCGCTCTATAGCAATGTCAGTAGGCCGATCTTGATCTGTCAATGAGCCGATAGACGCGTACCAAGCCAATCATCTGGACGCCTCGCGCATCGAATTCATCCTTGAGCTTCGCAAAGGCTCCAAGCTCAGTCGTACACACGGGTGTGAAGTCGGCAGGGTGGCTGAAGAGGATAGTCCACTTGTTGTCCAAGAACTTGTGGAAGTCCTACTTGAAGTCAGCATGCGTTGCGCAGCATTCGTCGGAGAAGCTTACCATGTCGCCATGGGTGGTCTTCGCCTGGAAGTTAGGCGCTGCGCGTAGTCAGTACCGTTGATCTGAGATATACTCCAGACACTACATACCAATGGATCCCAGCCTCAGTCGTGGCTGCTCAGCTGGAAGCGCGATTCCGCGACGGAGTAGCGGGGCAGCAGGGCGCTGTACCCTCAGGGCAGGACGCGCCGAAGCGCGCAGAGCTCGAGAAGCTGCACGAGGGAAGAATGAAGCCATTGTGAGGTTTTCAGAATACGATCAGGTATCTGAGATGTGTTCTGGAGCTTTGGAGGGTGGTTCGCGGCGGCAACGTCGATTAGTAAAACGGGGACTTTTCGACATGGCGTCATGTCGAATCAAAAAGCCCCGCCGGTCCGAAATCGGCCGTCTCTACCTCTTCGTGCAGTAATAATTCCAACACCGCGGAGGCATTCTGTCGGACATCCATCGCAAGCATCTGGAGTACGAATTGATGTTGCGCGCGGACAGCAGCAACGACCCTGCCACGCGTATGCCACGCGACATATCCAGCATGACGTCAGCGTGCGTGCATTAGCACCAGCGAAGCCACCGACCATATCTCACACCTTTCCATCTACTTTCCCATCCTTGATGGTTATGTCCAACTCATCCTCTGAAGCCAGCATGATTGGAACAGTGAAACCCTTCCACAAACGGGCGGGAACCCTGTCGCCTTCTCCCTCTTCCTTCTCCAGCTCACCACACCACCATGTGCAACCCTTTGGACGCATCCGAACTATATATCGGCCATCCTCAAGGCTTCGGAGCGTGCGTCCAGTATCGAATGAACTCACTAATGGGATTCCAGGTTTCAAAGTGACCAACTCATCCATCTTGGCTCTCAGGTCGGTTTTCGCATGCCGCAATTGGCAGATGCTGGTCTGTTGCCTGTGCATCATTTTACCAGTCGCGGCATTGACGATGAGAAAACTTGATGTGGGCAGACGATTCAGCTCTGACTGATCAATGACCCTGCGGCGACCGTCGAGGGTATTCGTTTCGGTAGCTGAAGGACCCCATGGGGCGAGGAACTTCTGCTGGCCCCGTGACTGTACGGTCACAGTCTCGGAGCCACTATTAACGACAGTGATTTCCAACGATATATCATTGACGAGACACATGCTCGTCACTAGTCGCGGTGGAAACTTCAGGTCATCGACGACCTTGAAAGCTGCATTACCGTGGCGCCAGCTGTTGACTAGTCTCACTTCCTCGCTATCTCCGTCGCTGTCGGCAAAATCCTCTTGGTTACTGTATGTCCATTTCTTGACTCCAAGGTCGCGACTTGCGAGTCTTATTTTGTATCTCTTTCCCGGCTTCAAAACTGACGCTAACACGCCCTGGAGATCAATAGCGCATAGATATACCGTGATATCATGTCTCCAGCTCTTTGTTCGATGAACCCGGGATGGAACTGAAATGCAACCTCGATTGTTCGCATCAACCTCTCCAAGCGAGCTTACATCCACTTCAACCCATTGCCTAGCTTCCCCGGGGCGTTCTTCATGCAGGGTTAACAGGCCATGCGCTATGGCGTAAGGCACATCGAAGACTGAACCGACTGTGTCAATCAGTATTGATCGAGGGTCTGTATCAGACTTTTGTAACCGACAAAGACCAAACACTACACTGAATGGTAGCTTCTCTGATGCGTCGAAGACGTTGTAGCGGCTGTGGAGCTGAACGTGAATCGGGAATTTGGTCATTGCGGTTCGTACGTGAGAAGAACAGAAGAACCTGTGGATACACCGGGAAATAAGAGTGAAGGGCTTTCTTGAAGATGAATTACCTTGCAGGTTTCATTCGCGTTCCTATAGGTCTTGAGCATAAGCACGAGATAAACACTCGTTGTTGCCTGCCGTCGCAGACATGCCACGCGAGTGCCCCACTCCGAATCTCGAACATGACGTCATCCCGCATTGTCGAACCCCGAGCTTTCCACATGAAACTTGGTCGATGTGGCTGGGGATCAGGGCCACGCGCCTCGCAGCGGAGAAACAAGAAATGAAAAGCCGTTGAAGGCCCAGCCCCGCGCGCCGAAGACGTTGTGTTCACACTCGAATCGTCTTCGGCAGCGCTTGCCTAGCTACACTCGCTTCCCCATCGCCCAATATGTCCATAACGTCCTTCGACAACAAGCCCGGAACAGGCGGCTTCCTGAAATTCAACTCCGGCCCGCCGCGCATTTATCTCACCTGCGCTCTACCAGCCCCAGAGAAAGCGCTGCTGTCCTGGCGCGAAGAAGGCTACGATGCGCAATACCTGCCCTACGATCCCAACACGCAAAACCAAGCAGCCTACATCCGGTCCCTGAAAGAACTATCCATAAATTTGAACCTGGGCGAGAACTACGCGATAATAGCTTATGGCGACGCAGCGAGCGTCGTCTTGAAAACAGCACAGAAGCCGTTGGCGAAATGCTGCGCTATCATAGCGTTTTACCCAAGTGTGTTACCGAGCCCAAAGACCATGTATCCGAATTCGCATCAGCTGCAAGTCCACATAGCGGGACTCAGCCAGTCTAGCCCAAGACCAGATATGTGCGAATGGAAGCTGTATCGGTACGAGAAGTGTGCCACGGGATTTGCGGATCCATCTTCGCGAGCGTATTCGGAGGTGGAGGCGAACCTGGCATGGACAAGAGCGCTAGCATGTATACGAAAAGGATTTGGAAAGAACGTGGACCTAGAACCGATTGCGCTGAGTCACTGGAACGCGAGGTTCGAAGACGACGACCCAGATCGAGCGAGTATGAGTGTGGTGAAGAACATGACGCAGGATAGTCCGCATGTCACGATCTTGCCGACTATGCAGGGTGGGGTGGGAAGGAAGAAGCTTGCGGAGTTTTACGGAGAGTTCTTCGTACCTAGTTTGGTGGATGACTTTTCCATACGATTGGTCTCGAGGACTATGGGTGTCAACCGTATAGTGGACGAGATGGTCGTGTCTTTTACGCATTCGGACGAGGTTGACTGGGTGCTGCCAGGCGTGCCGCCAACGAACAAGCGGGTGGAGATACCCATGGTCAGTATCGTGGCGGTAAGAGGAGACAAGCTGGTTTCAGAGCATATGTATTGGGATCAAGCTTCTGTTCTTGTGCAGGTCGGCTTGCTGGATCCTAGGATGGTTCCGAAGAAGTTGAAGAATGATGGACTGAAGGCGATGCCTGTCGTAGGGGCGGAGGCAGCAAAGCAGTTGGTTGAACCGCAACAGAACCGATATAACAAGCTGCTACAGATGCACGGTCTCATGGACGGTTTGAATGGCAACTAGAGATTATCGCATCTTATTTTCAGCGCGGTGTTCCGGAGTAAGGCTTGGAAGAATCGCTTCATCGAGCCTGGAAAGTCTCCGTAATCGCTTGATAGATTCTCCAATACTGTTCATCATCAAGTCCATCTCCAGATCAATTATTGGAATTATCTATTCTCAACCGATGAAACTGCATGTCGGCAGCTTGTACTCATTGAGTACCCAGTACTTCCGCCTCACACCCTCCCATTCACCCTTATCATCCAAGTTCGGTACAGGGACCGTTTCCCATTCTGTGTCGAAACCAGCCTCGAAGAGATCGAATTCTACGATCTTGTTGTAAACGTCGTAGACAATCTGGCGATCTGCTCCCATGCCGTTGAAAAAGCCGAACTTGCCTCCTTCGCCATCGGAACCACCGGCAGGATCGAGGAGCCCGATGACATGTTCTGTGAAGAACTCGCGTAGTGCTTTGTATTCTTCGGCGAAGGTATCAAAGTAGATCGCGTCGAACAGCTCGCCCTTTTCGACCAGGCCTGGTACAATGTCCTGCCAGCGGCCCTCGTGGATGACAACGCCCGGCTTCTCATGCCACCCCTGCTCTTTCATGCGCTTGATGACATCTGGGTGTGCCTCGATGATGTGGTGAGCCTTTGGCTTCTTTTCCTGCAAAATACCGTCGATGATACCCATTCCATGACCGACGTTCAGAACGCGAAGCCCTTCTGCCGGCACCAATAATTCGGCAGATCTGCGCATGAGTGTTGTCTCCCATTCCATCATGACTCCGTTCGAAGAATCGTCCAGTAATCGGTCGCGGTCGAACGTGAGCTTGGAAGAGAGATAATTGGGGTTCTCGGTTGATTCATCGCCTTGTGTTTCTTCCTGGCTGATGTCCACTACCTCGACGCCTTCAGCCACCTCTTCCACCTCATCATCCTCCTCGTCCTCTTCGTCTGAATCATCGTCTCCAAGAAGCTGGTATTGCTCCATGCGACTCAGCAGCATCTCTGCGCGCACGCCTGCGTCGACACAGAGCTCGTATAGTTCCTTCAGGCCCAATCGATGCGCGATGCATCCCGGTGTTTCGCCATTTGAATCCAAGTCGTTCCATATCGCACCGTTCTCGAAAAGGAATTTGAGGGTCTTTACAGCGCTGTCCATTTCGTTCTTCGCATCTTCCGCCCCGTCCGCTGCTTCTCCATTTGAGTTTCCGTTGACTTGTTTTGCGTCATCTTCGTCGGGCTCACAGGCAGCGATTGCGGCGTGCAGAGGCGTAAAACCAGTCTCGGAATCTTGGACGTTCGCGGAAGAGTTGCGCAGAAGGTTGCGGAGGGAGGCGGTGTCGTGGTTCGCAGCGGCGAGCAATATGCTCTGCGTCTGGAGATCAGTCTGAGTATCGAATTCCGGGTCGTCCATGATTATGTCAGTAGTGTTGGTGTTGTGTTCTCCAAGTGTCTGGAGGGGCAGTTGAGGGGCCTGGAAATTTACTGAGACGCGAGTCATGCAGGGTCCAGCTGGTGGATAGCGCAGTGTCATTGAGCCTCTCCCTCTCCTCAAGGCCAAAGCTATACTGAATTGCAAGAGTACGCCAAAATAGCCTTGCAACATGCATTGCAGCTCAGGTACCCCTCCAGCCAGTATTGAGCTATGTAGTCCCAGAAAATGACCCTAATTCATCCTCTACAACTCATCAATAACACTCGAATCCAACATCTTCTCCAGCTCCTCCCTCGGAGTGATCGTCCTGTTATCCTGCTTCGCTAGATACCCATCCTCCTCGACCAAAAAGTCTATCATCCCATCATCCCACCGTCCACTCCAGTTATGGTGTTTCCAAACAGCCTCCACAACCTCCACATCTGCATCAACAGTCTTAGCCACGTAATCAAAAACATTCTTTTCCTTCGGCGTATTCGTGAATACGTCCCGTGTTTTGTCAAGCGCCCTCACAAATTCCACAATGTCCTTGCGCCTCGAGGGATTGTCGAGAGCTTCTGTAGTAGAGAAAAGCGCATAGACTTCTCTGTAGATTGATGCGTTTTGGAAGATGATCGCGTCATCCCCCAAAGCCCTAGCGCCAAGCTCAACAGAAGTTTCCCAAATACCGAACGCATCCAGGCTTCCGTTGTTGAGAAGGTACGGCAGAGTATCGTTTGCACACGGCGTCTTCATACACCACCACGCATTAACCCCTTCGTACTCATTATCCTTCACACCAACACTACTCATCATATTGTGTACGAACACTTCCGCACTCGAACCCAGAAAACTGCCAATCCTCTTGCCCTTCAGATCTTCAAGTTTGTTGATACCCTTCCTTCTATCGGCGACGAGGCGGTACGAAACCTCGCAGATGACGTAGATGAGGCGGATGTTGCGGTGATCGACATATTGTCTGATACTTGGTGTTTCGGCGTTGGCGCTGAGGTCGACGCTTTGGTTGGAAAGGATGTCGGGGACACCACCTGATATGAGAATTGCAGGCGTACTGCCGTTGTAGAAGTTCTCGATGGCGTAGGGCTGAGGCGTCCGCTCTATCCAAAGGGGATAGGATGCGATCGTAAGTCCGACAACATGGTGAAGCTGGATGATAACAACGGCGAGTAGAAGTAATGAATTCATGATGCGGAGTATGAGCGATGAATATCTGATTCTGACATTGAATGATTCTCCTCGAACTTCGAGCTTATATGTATTTGCTCACGTCTTGACCGCCACAAGAGCTTTGTGACGCCGGGAGAATATGGCAGTCTTGGATTTCTGCATGCAATTACAGTATCCCGATGGATGACGTTGGAGCAGGGATCAGTGCATTGAAGCGGTTACCCATCAGGAATATTGCAGGGTATATCACCCCATTCTGACG